GTCTGGAAACAGAGTCCCATAGAAATGAAGCCCCCTGGAATGATGCCTGGGAAGAGCGATCGACTGCTTGAGAGACGGCAAGGAACTCAGCAGATTTTTCTAGCAAAGGCAGCAGAGTGGGCCCGGTTGTTTACTGCTTCCTCCCCAGAGTTGTTACATAGTTGTGTGTATATATATAGGCGTATGCTGTATGTCGCATGGGATGTAACATCGGGCTTCCATCCTTGCTCGTGCGTCCTGCAGTATTTTACGCTTGGTTTGTTAAAAGCTTACGTGAGACTTAACAACCCATGAAAACCTGCTTGTCATGGCCATGCCCATGAGGGTCCTTATTGTCCATCACTGAATATGTCTCTGCCTCCTGCCATCAGACACACGAGAATATTCAGCAGCTTTAAATAGCGGCTGCAGGCGTTTTTGCCCTCCTCGTCCAGATGATGCTGTCTGGAAGTTTAGAATGTGCGACATTCAGCCGTCTGCCAGACGGGATCATGGATATCCCACACCCTGGCGTGATGGAAGCCTATACTGGTGGGAAGATCCTGATATTGGATCTTGAGGCAGGGGCTAGGCTGCAGATGCTCTCTCCTGTAAAGCTTCTAGACATTTGGCCGCATGCTATTAAGTATCAGATCAAAGCATTGCTCCTTGCGGTGCTAACGAGGGCAAGTGAATAGTATTCCTATCTGAACGCTGCAGGAGTGAGGGCTGCAAATCAGTTCCTTCCTTACTTGCTATAAAACACCTAAACATCGGGCTGATAATGGGAGAAAATGCTTGTTCCTATGAACACCGGCCTTTACGCTTGCGGATGTGCTGCTGGGCCTCCCAGCTAGAGCTTTCTGAGCCGCAAGGGTAAGTTGTGAAAAACGTTAATAGCTTAACTAGAAAGAAATCAGAGCTGAAATGTGAAGGCCGACCTCTTCCAAAGCACACAGGTCATCACCTTCATTCCACAGGTGACAGTCTGTGTGGGTACTGTAAGATAGCATGCACCCTCTAACTGTTCTCAAACGATGGTTTACAGTTTTATTTAAAACATTGTCACTGGCTTCATTAACTGTAAGTCTTTGGACCTCTCACTGAGGGGAAGACATTTCCTGCACGTCGTCTTGAGCTGCTCTTCGGTGCTTGGCTGCTCCTTGTTCGCTTTGCTCTGCACACTGCTTTCAGCTTCATCTCAGATGCAGGTGATGCTCAAGGTGAGACTGTTGCTTTACTCCCTTTCCCGCTGTTTAGCAGGAGATTTGAGATGTGACTGGAATTACCTTTCTGCTTACGAATTTCCTTTTCCAAGCCAAATGCTGTTGGAGAAGGCCTCAGGTATCTCTCACGAATGTACTAGCCGTTACTTCTACCACAAAGTTAGTGCTATGAACAGAGAATAATCCGGCGTGCTCCACTGAAAACAAACATTCCTGCCTTTTTCTGCTTTCTGAGGTGGTGTGTGGTCTGGGGTGCAGGCTAAGCTTCTTGATAGGCAATCTTCTGAAAAGCTGGAGAACAGGGCGAGTCCCTGGGTCTGCGGTTCCCTGCTGGCCTGAGCTGCTCCGGTTCTTCCCCTGACTCTGCTGTTGTGACCCCCCTGCTTTGTGCTGCCGCTGGTGCTTGTTGCATCCTACACTGGTCAGTGTGCTACACGTGCAGAAGAGATTTGCTTTGTTGTTTCCATTGTTCTTGTAATTTAATGTGTTGGCAGGGTGCTAAAGTGCCAACCTATCTGCAGGAAAATTTCTGTGAAGATCTGGTGAAGGGGACAGAAAAGAGTTGTGGGTCTTTTCAATATCTGTATTTTAAATTAAATATATTTATATATATTTAAATATTTAAAGAGTATTTTCCCCTCCTCTAAGCTTTTACACAGAAAGAGTAGAAATACACATTTTCACAGGCCCACTCGTTGCGTGAGCCAGCCCCTCTCTCTCTATCAGACTATGTGCCAGTGGTTTCCCGAGGTACTATTGTAACATCCCTCCTGTTCCCGAGCTGCCAGAGTGTATTGCGATTACCAGCCTCGTGGCTGAGCGCTCCTTGGTTTATGGGTTATTATCCTGTTCACAGACTTGCTCTGCTTTTAGCCGCCTACGTGCTACGTGTCCCACAGCTCCAGCATTAAAATGTTTGTATCGCTCTTTTCCAAGTGTGTCGTTTCTCCGATTGCCTTGCTTGTTCTTTATCTACAGCACACCACTTCTCGCTGTGATGTCTGTGGACAGTATGCACACTTTAGCGTGGGAGGGCGTGTCTTAGCTTTACTGCTTTGTATGCAGAACCCACCTTCGTGCCATGGAGATGGCCGGTTTCAGCTGCCCTGGGGCTGCCTCTGCCCTGGGACTGTAAGGAAAAGTGTGTCCCGGAATGAAAATAAATGTTGGGTTTTTGGGATGCTGTCCCAATTCAGTTTGGCACTGATGTCCAGTTTAAATAAATGATGAGCGCAGCGATGCTTGTGACTCGCTAGCAGTGGGGTGGGACCGTAGTTCAACTGGCTGCCTACCTTTTCTGGTGGCCTCTTGGAGATAAAGAGGAGGATCTGGGATTGATGGACGCGGACACTTGCGTAAGACTGTAGCTTCCCCGTGCAAAGCACTTGTCGTGTGAGTCATTCTCTGCCTGTTTTGTTAGGGCACTTGCACCTTGTGTGCACCCAACAGCTTTCCTAAGATTTAGCAGGAAGACTAAACATGAGCAGCAAAGTACGTGGGGAGAAACATAGTGACAAAGGACGAGGAAAAGGCTGAGGTACTTAATGCCTTCTTTGCCTTAGTCTTTAAATGGTGAGACCAGTTGTTCTCTGGGTACCCAGCCCCCTCAGCTGGAAGACAGGGAGCAGAATGAAGCCCCCATTATCCAAGGGGAAACGGTTAGCGACCTGCTACACCACTTAGGCACACACAAGTCTATGGGGCCGGGTGGGATCCAGCCAAGGGTACTGAGGGAGCTGGCGAAAGTGCTCGCCAAGCCACTTTCAATCCTTTATCAGCAGTCCTGGCTAACCGGGGAGGTCCCAGTTGACTGGAGGTTAGAAAATGTGATGTCCATCTACAAGAAGGGCCAGAAGGAGGATCCGGGGAACTACAGGCCTGTCATTCTGACCTCGGTGCCAGGGAAGGTTATGGAGCAGATCATCTTGAGTGCCATCACGCAGCATGTACAGGACAACCAAG